AAAAAAAAAAATTCAATCCACAATTACAGAAAATTACCTCAATATGAAAATGGTAAATTAGATAAGTTCGTTGTTATCACGTTGCAAAGCAAACACTATACTGAGCTGGTAGTAATTATCAAACCACACTTTTTGGTGTTTACTGATATAGATAAGAGATACATATAGATAACAGTGCGATCGAATGAGATATTAAACATTTTCACATAAAAATACACATACATATATGGGAAAATGTTACTGTAAGATTACAAAAAAAGAAAAAAAAATTTGATCAATTTTTTCAAATAAACAGAAATCCATTTGAAAATAAAAAAAAATCATATTTAATACGTTTTACGACGTAGTAAATTCGGTAGAAGTTTTTTTCTCCCAATAAAATAATAAAATACAAAAACAATAATAATAATCATAATAATATTAATAACAAGAATAATAATAATATTAATTTATCGTCTTTTAAATAATATATTATACTCTCTAAATCTGAATCAGTAAAAATGTTTACTAATTTAAATTAGTGACTCACTTTTTGCTTTAGAATTAGTTAAATTTTACTAATTCTTAGTAAAAGTAACTAATAATTAGTAAAATTTTACTAATTGAGAAGCAAAAATTAGGTCACTAATTCAAATTAGTAAACTTATTTACTAATTCAGATTTAGAGAGTATAGAAATGGATTTTATATACATTTCGGATGTCATAACCTATGGACGACGCATGAATATGTTCTAAAAATAAATAGTTAGAATTTTCATTTTATGGAATTTCATAATTATTTTTGAGCCGAATTTTTATTTGTTGGAATTAGTATTTTGCAGAATTTCCATCAAAATGATTTTCTACTCTCTAAATCTGAATTAGTAAAAATATTTACTAATTTGAATTAGTGACTTACTTTTTGCTTTTTGCATTAGTAAAATTTTACTAATTATTAGTAACTTTTACTAACAATTAGTAAAATTTAACTAATTTTAAAGCAAAAAGTAAGTCACTAATTTCAATTAGTAAATATTTTTACTAATTCAGATTTAGAGAGTTTATTACAGAATTTTTATATAACCGAAAATTCACTTCACAGAATTTTTATTTGTTCCTATTTTTATTTGCTCGAATTTTCATTTAACATAATAGGCATTTTAAAAAAAATTTTATTGGATAGAATTTCATATACCTAATTTCCATATAACCGATTTTTTATACTACAGAATTTTTACTTAACCGAAAAATCATTTAACAGAATTTCTAATTGATAGAGAATTTTCATTTGTCCGAAATTGCAAATGGCCGAACAAACAATCGATTTCGGTGCGATTTTTAAAATCAACCAATCACAATTTTATGGATAAATTTTGATTGATTGATTTTAAAAATCGCGCCAAAATCGATTGTTTGTTCGGCCATTTGCAATTTCCGACAAATGAAAATTCTATATCAATTAGAAATTCTGTTTAATGATTTTTTGGTTAAGTAAAAATTCTCTAGTATGAAAAATCGGTTATATGGAAATTATATCAAATAATAATTCGAACAAATGAAAATTCTATGCAAATAAAAATTCTGTGAAGTGAATTTTCGGTTATATAAATAGTCTGTAATATGGAAAATCGTTTTGATGAAAATTTTGCAAAATACTAATTCGAACAAATAAAAATTCGGCTCAAAAATAATTATTATTATGTATATTGATCTAATTGAAAATTCTAACGATAAAAATTGAATATTTTAAGTTAAACATCCAAAATTTGTACAAAATCGATTCCTACATAATTTAAACTAGAAAATTTTAAAAATAATAATCGATATTAAGTTTTGTCGTGCCTATCTTTATGTTTCAAACACTCTCTAATTGTAGTGTAATGTAACTTTTTTTTAAAACTTTTTTTTACCATATTCGCATCATTTTTAACGAAATTTTTTGAAATTTCAAATTGTCTCTTATTCCAAGTGTGAAAATATCAGAAAATTTAAACGATGCAAGTCCCGAATCAGAGATAGGCAAATGACACGGTCTGGGTTCTTGGCGCATAACGAAGAAATCCTGTCGTCTATTTTAGTAACCGTGAATCACATGACATTTCATCCATTCATGATCATCATCGCCAAGAAAATTGCATTAAAAATCATCAGAATATTAATTAATGTCCAATAATAATAATAAATACTTTAAATGAGAATTATGAAGAATAAATGGAAATATTTTTAAAATAAAGTAGAAAAATAATTTTCAAAAAATAGTAAAAAAGGGTCATTCTATTTATTAATCATCTCAGTAAAAAAAAAATAAAATTTATTCGATTGGCTTAACTCCATTAACGCCAAAAAACCAGAAAATTTTTTATACACTTTCAAGCTAAGATATTATTAATAAAACGGTCAATATTTTTTACCAGAGGTATACTTTTTGCGTATAGATCTTAAGTGTGCTGTTTTTCGATACCGATGTCAAAAATCAATTTTGTTCAAGACATAATTAAATATGGCGGTTTTATTATCATAAAAGACAAAAAAAAATTCATTTTTTCAAGTTTGGCAATTTTTTTTTACCCTGAAACAGTGTGAGAATGAAATTCTATTCTCAACTAAAGGTGCATAAAAATGATATACTTTCGAGAAACGTAAAGTAAAATTAAAAATTTCAAGATAGCGGACCCAATATGGCGTCAAATCTAAAGTAAAATGTGAAAGTTTTGATCAATGTGTGCCCCCAACTGCCATAATGACATTGAATTTGCTTAAATTTTGCGACTTTGGGGTTTTTGGGGTCATTAATTACGAATCCGATGTTAGTTTTCAAAAATTCAAAATGGCAGATTCAATATGGAGGAAGCCTTTTTGATAATACAATATATATGCAATTCGCTTGAAATTTGTTACTCGGGGGTTTTCAGGGTCGCTGATTACAAATTTCAAGTGAATTGCATTATATTATCAAAAAATCGTCCTCCATATTGAATCCGCCATTTTGAATTTTTGAAAACTAACATCGGATTCGTAAGCAGTGACCCCAAAAACCCCCAAGTCATTTTTTGCAATTTTTTCAAAAAAAAAAAAAAAACCCGATTTCTTTTCTTTCTAGCTCGTAGCCATCAAATTAAATCGGTCTCGCTATATTTTTCCTGTAATCTACACGTGTAAATACATGAATGTACCAAATTTCAGCTCTTTATATTAAATACTGTAGCCGCAAGGGGTTAATTCTTGGCCTTTAAATTAATCTGAAAACGAAAAATTCGTTCGTTGTTTCGTCAAATCAACATTGGTAACTTCAGCGTCATATGGGTTAAAACATTGGTCAATTTTTGTCTTATGCGAGAGTGAAAAATAATTAAAATTTTAACTCATTTAAACAAAATCTATAGAAATAAGAAGCCATTGAAGTTTCTGCGGTTTAAGTGGCACAGATTTTTTTTAAATACAACTATGACAAACCACCACCTTCTATTTCTATAAAATTTTGTTTAAATGAGTTAAAATTTTAGGCATATTTCACTCTTATATAGGACAAAAATTTACCAATATTTTAAGTCAATCGAATAAATTTTATTTTTTTACTGAAACGTTTGGTGTAGAATGCCCCCATTATTTATATGTTATTTTTTTTTTTAAAGTCAATTATTTAAAAAATTCTTTTACTTCAAAAAATTTAATTACTTAAAATTGAAAATTATTAAAATATTTAATCCGATGTTATTCTATACGTAATCAATAATTTTTTTTCTGTTAAATTCCATGATTTGTAAATTTTATTATTTTTTTTTTTGCGGTTAAAGTGAAAAAAATGAATATAAAACATTTTCGTGGTTTTCTCGGTCAAATTTGCGATATTGGAATTTTTTTTTCAATTTTTTTTTACAAGCCATAAAAATAATAAAATAATTGATTAAAAAAATTTTTAATTGATAAAAAAGGCACAGGTATAGATATCTAATTAATTTAAAAATAATTGAATTTATAAAAAATATTTTTTTTAAAGCAATTTAAATAATAGGTATAAATATAAAAAGGTCATTTTTTATTTAATTTTTTTAAAAAACATCCCTTGACCTATATATAATTTAATATGAATATCAAAATTCGGTAAAATTCAAAATCTTATTTTGATTTTTTTTTTCAAAAATTTATAAGCACTTTAAATAATTTTGCAAAGAGAAAAATTACAAATTACATCTACTACTAATTAAAATTTTTAAACTTCAATTACGTCATTTTAAATAATCCTCCATTTTGAATTTAAATCCTCCATTAAAAAAAAAAAAAGAAAAAAAAATAGAATGATAAAAACTTCCGAAATTAACATATCTATAAAAAATAATGTAAAGGATAAAATTGTTTCATTACAAAAATTATTGATTTTAGAAAAGATTTTTTTTTTTTTTTTGACAGATTTAAATTTATTTTTCACTATTATAAATGTTTATATGAAAATGAAAAAAGAAAGTAATAAAAATGATATAACCTCTAAAGAGAAAGATTATGTCTTTTATTAAATTTTACCTTTCTTACGTAACAATTTACAAGAGGAAAAAAAAATTTGTTTCATACCAATACTTACAATAGATGAAAAACGATGATGTAAGAATGACAAAATTTTTTTTTGCTATTTAGTAAGAAAAGAAAATAAAAAACTAGGAGAAATTACAAAAAAGAAAATCATTTTTTTTAAAGTTAAAAAGAATACGTTAAAATAATTAATTGAGATTAATTTTTAAAATAAAGTCAATAAATAAAATAGCAATAATAACTAAAAAGTGAAAAATAAATTTTTTGAATATTTTATAAAGCGCCCTAATTTACGCCGTGACTGGCAATATCCCCCCTTCCTTTATGGTATATTTATTAAAAAGCAGTCAGCAAACAAGAGCAAGGAGCGCGCGCGTAAAACGCGCGAAAATTTCATATATACGATCGAGAACAAAAAAAAAAAAATTATTTCAAAATTTGAAAATACACTTTAAAACTTGAGCGAACAATAGAAAATAGGAAAAAAAACACTTACCCCATAAACCAGTCCACGGTATCGCGGAGATACTCGGGTAGTTTATCCAGCTTGGATGATTTTTAAAAAGATCACTTGCCAGGTTAGAGTTACAGGACGCGTTTATATCACTGGTTTTTAATAATAAAAATTTTTTTTTCTAATTTATTTATTTTATTCCTAATACTAATTTTGTTGCGAGGCAAATTAAATTCACACACACACAAACACACACACGACACTAATTAATCGACAATGTTTTTATTTATATTCACTTTCGACAATTATTGAAAATTTTTTAACATGGCGCGACATACTATTTTGTCACCTATTCCTTTTTATTGGTGATAATAATTCGTCAACGACAACGATGACGACAAAAAAGAATCGACTTTGTCGCGCACCTTCGCCGTTCGTATCCGTTGGGAGTCCTTGCCACTGGACTCCCGGAGGAACGTTGAAGTCGCGCGCACGGTTTCTCAGGAGGTGAAACCTCGCGCGTGATCTCGAACGATCCGCGATATTCTATTATCACTTTTTATTATTAATGATAATAATAATGAGTAATTTTCATAAAACGAATACACGACTGACGACGACATAGGCACAAGAGCAACCTCGTCGTCACGACACTGCTCCACTCTGTCTCTTGCACACACAACAGCTGACTTAGCTGTTAGCTTAGGTTAGAAATTTTCCCAGTTCCCAATTTGTCCAATACGACTACAGTTACACGACGAGTGAAAATGTAAACTCCAAAACGAATCATGTCATACGTATATGTATACATACACACATACTTATATAAGGGAGATTTAATATTTTGTATAAATGAATTTGCAATTTAACTACAGAGGGTGACACTAGTCAGTGTAGCGATTTGAATTCTAATTTATCGACAGTCGGTTAGGTTGGTAATACACTGCAGAAGTTGCAGAGAATTGTAGTAGTAAAATTCATTAACATGTGGCGCTAACATCACCGAAAGTGCGGGAAAATTGAATTGGTTATGTTAATAACATTTTTTGAGACGCTTGCTTTTCACCGAACTCTTAATACGTCGAGTGGACAAAATATCGAAAACCCATAACATCGAAAAGACAATACATTGAACTGACAAAATGTCAAAAACCAAGACGTCGAACGGACAAAATATCGAAAAGCCAATATGTCGAATGGACAAAATGTCGAAAAGCCATAACCTCGAACAGCCAATACGTCGAACTGACAAAATGTCGAAAATTTTTATTGACTTAATAAGTATAATTATAGTTACTTCAATAAAATTTTTCGATATTTTGTCCGTTCGATGTATTGGATTTTCGACATTTTATCAGTTCGACGTATTTGCTTTTCGACATTTTGCCTGTTCAACGTATTGGCTTTTCGACATTTTGTCTGTTCGACGTATTGACCGTTCGTTCAAAAGCAAGCGTCTCCATTTTTTAAATTTTCTTTCTCTCTTATTCTCATTTATAATTTAAATTCTAAAAATTCCTTTTTTCATATTTGTCATAATTATCATCAACTACCGCACTCTGCTCTAGTGGAAATTTAGTAACTTTATAGTAACTTTTAATTTTAACAATAAAGTCACTTTTTTACTAGAGCAGAGTGCGGTAGTTGGCGAGAATTATGATGGAAACCAACCAAATGCTGTCCTTTTGATAACGGGATTTGACGGTATTTTGAAAAGTCGTGAAACTTCTATAATAATTTTATTAGTTTATGACATATTATGTTCAGGCCCGAGGAAAATGGAAACATGTCATTAAAAAGGCTTAAGCACAACTGCTTCGCGAACGTGAAATTCGTTCGCGAATGCCGTTCGCGAACGAATCGAACATAACCTTATTTAATGCATTTTTCCATTAATTGAGGTTATGTTCGATTCGTTCCGGAACGGCGTTCGCGAACGAATTTCACGTTCGCGTACCTATTGTGCGTTGGCCTTAATCGCCAACCCAACCTGAGAAATGAGTTAGAGAAGGATGGACAGAAACATTGCTGGTCACAAACAGACGTGGTTATAAATCCCTGCGAATTGTCACGAAGGCAAAAGTCTTCACGACAGTTCCGAGGGTAGATAAATGGCTCCCAAGAAGGGTTGACGGGTTTTAGTGGGTGTGGTCTGGTAGCACTTCGACAGCTTATTTTGTTTCCTCTCCTTTTTTTTACCAACCTCACATAACCTTGACATGCGGAAGCCAAGATATCTGTATACAGATTTCCCAAAAGTTCCTAAGCAAAAAAAAAAAAATCCCCGCGAATCGTAATAGTCTGAACTCGGTAGTTTAGCTCAATTTTCTTTCTTACCGTCTCCAATTTGTATTTTACCTAGAATTTTAGAACGCACGTGGTTTAATAGAACGATGTATATTATTGTCAGATAGCGATAACAGTTGACAATTTATTTTCAAATATTGTTTACTATATACTATACATGTTTTTTTAAATATATAATAGTGTGTTATTATATTAAAAAATAATGCCTGCAGTTTGTTGCATAAATGGTTGTGATTCTGGCCGTCGTACGAAAATAAAATCAAAAATCTGTCCAAGTTTATTTTCAGCAAATACGGTATGTTGTCATTTTTTTTGTGATACAAAAGTATTTTTACTTACCCTATTGGAAGAATGGGTCCCAAAAAGAAATGTAAACGATATGTTTCGTACCATTTATAGTCCAAATTTTGAATCTCGTCCGTTATAATCTCAGTCTGTTTATTATAACCTCAAAAAATAATAACTGAAACTTAAGAAAACCTTCCAAATTATTAATTGATTATAATTTTAAACCAAAATTTGAAAATTTAAATTTAAGTTCCGAAGAACAATTAATAAAAAATATATATATATATCTTTTTTTTAAAGGACGAAATATTTCGTATTTGGTCCGATGCAATTGCACCACATACAACAAAATTATATACAAAAAATAGAAAAATATGCGAATTACATTTTCGCGCCGAGGATGTTGAAAAGGATTTTGTTACAAAATTAAAAGATGGCACAATTCATAAAATACCACGAGGTAGACCAGCTTTAAAAAAAGATGCTGTGCCTGTGATTTTTCCAATTATTAAAAGTGAACCAATTAAAAATGATTGGGAAGATTTTTTATTAAAATTTAATGATAGTGAAAACAATATCTACGATATAATTAAAAATCATCTCGACATTATTCCTTTACCATCAAAATTATGGTCTGTATTTAATAATTGTACAGAAAATTTTATTGCTTGGATTGAAATTTGTAATGATAAAAAATACAGTATGAAACGAGTAATGTTACTACCGGATCTGAGAATAAAAGTAAGGGGTTCTTTTTTTTTGTATTTTTTAAAGTTACGAAGATTTAACTAAAAATCATGATTTTTAAAAATAATGACTAAAAATCACTCGATTGATATTTTATAAAATCGTTTTTTTAGATAACAATTGGCGAAATAGAGATAAAAATTTTGCCTCAAGTAATTTCTACCATTGACGAAATTCCAAAATTGATTAAATTAACGTCGACATTATTACCTTGTTACACTGAAAGCACAGAAAGGTAAAAAAAAAAATTTTCAAAGAAGCTAAATTTTTTGAATTTTTTAAAAAAAATTTCAAAATAAAATACGATTTTTTTACACTGAAAAAAAAATTATTTGATTCAAATACACGATTTCCTGACTATTATCAAATAAATATATTTATTTGTATCAAATAATTATTATTTGAGTCAATCAAATGGTATTTGTTTCAAATACAAAAATTATTGGTTCAAATACAATTTATTTAGTTTAAATAAATATTTATTTGATAATACTCAAGTAATCGAGTATTTGAATCAAATAAATTTTTTTTCAGTGTAATATTAAATTTAGCTTTTTCTAAAATGTAATTACACAACAAATTTTTTAATAAAATTCAAATGTTATAAAAATCATTAGTTAAAATTTTCATTTTATGGAATTTCATTTGTCATAATTATTTTTGAGCTGAATTTTTATTTTTTCGAATTAGAATTTTTCGAGAATTTTCATCAAAACGATTTTCTGTATTACGGAATTTTTATATAACCGAAAATTTACTTCACAGAATTTTTATTTGTTCGAATTTTCATTTAACATAATAGGCATATTTTAAAGAATTTTTATTGGTTAGAATTTCATTGCATAGAATTTTCATTTTATTCTTTCAGATGAATTTTCATTTGTTCGAAATATTCTGTGATATAATTTCCATATAACTTTTTTTACTTAACTGAAAAATCATTTAACAGAATTTCTAATTGATAGAATTTTCATTTGTCCGATATTGCAAATGACCGAACAAACAATCGATTTTGGCGCGATTTTTAAAATCAACCAATCACAAATTTTATGGATAATTTTTGATTTGTTGATTTTAAAAATTGCGCCAAAATCGATTGTTTGTTCGGCCACTTGCAAATTTTGGACAAATGAAAATTCTATCAATTAGAAATTCTGTTAAACAATTTTCCGGATAAGTAAAAATTCTGCAGAAAAATCGGTTTTTATGGAAATTATATCAAATAAAAATTCAAACAAATGAAAACTCATCTGAAGGAATAAAATTAAAATTCTATGCAATGAAATTCTATCCAATAAAAACTCTTTAAAACACCTTATGTGTTGAATGAAAATTCGAGCAAATAAAAATTCGAACAAATAAAAATTCTGTGAAATGAATTTTCGGTTATATAAAAATTCTGTAATATAGAAAATCGGTTTGATGAAAATTCTGCAAAATATACTAATTCGAAAAAATAAAAATTCGGCTCAAAAATTATGATGACAAATAAAATTCCATAAAATGAAAATTATAATTAATGATTTTTAGAACATAATCATGCGCTCTTTTAATTTCAATTTAAAATCTTCTGTAATTCAATTATTTAAAAAAAAATTTATTAACATTTGAAAAAATTGTAAATTTTTTTTTTGTAGGTCGAAAAATTGTATTGGTTACGTTTCTTCAAAATTGAAAGGTACTTTTGGTCCTCAAAGTAAATTTTGCTTGGAGTGTAAAAAATTTAAGAAAATACAATTGAAACAAAAAAAGAGGGAAATGATGGAAAAAACAAAAAGAGCACTTTTAAAGAAGAAAATTAGGGAAAAGATAAAAAAAATTCAACGATGCAATAATAATTTAAAAAAAAAATTTCTTGTTTCTACATCAAAAGAATTTTAGTATTATTTTAATATAAAAAAAACTGTACAGTATAATTTTTACGAGTTATTTTAAAAAAAGAACTGAAATAATAAATATTCTGATATAATATTTTTTTTGTTTACTTTATCCCTTACATAAAAATTGTAATAATTACATAATAGTTAACTGTAACGTTGTACATTACAATGATTTATTGTAATAGTTTTAAGTACTTTACGTAATAATTGTTCAAGACAACGTCGAAATGTAATACCACACATTGCGTAGAGTAAAAAATTTATACTAAAATTAGTGTAGTACAAAAGCATGAAAAATTGTTGCAAACACCACAGCAATGTTGGTGTATCCTTTCTTGCCAAGGCGAAAAAATAAACGCAGAAACGGACGACGTAACTGAAAACAGTAAAATTACAATTTTTATATTATATACTATAAAGTAAGGTATTATATATTTAAATGATTTTGTCTTGAGGGAAAGCTTTATCTTTACATGCAAAAAATAATAAACATAATTTTGACTTCAGTAGAATTAAAAATTTAATAAATATTGAAAAAAATTAAAATAAAAGACGTCTACTAGAAATGATTAATATTAAAAAAAAATAAAAATTCTATAAATTTTAAAAGTGACATTCAGAATATTAGTGAAATTTATCAAAGTTTTTTTAAAAAAAAAGTTTAACTGTACAGTGAAACCCACGTATATCGAATTTCAAGGGACAGGAAAAAAATCCGATGTAAGCGGGAATCCGAATTATGCGGGTCCGATATACGTGGGTTTCACTGTATTTAAATAAATCAATTTTTTAGATTTAAAAATTTTTTTCTTGAAAATTGATATTTCCTCTTTCAGATAGTATAATTAATAATATTAGGGTCAGCCGGGGTAAATCCGAACGCTAATTATTTCAGCTTAATTAAAATTTTTAAAAATAAGTTCGATATGAGAATTTTTACCTCAGATCCTCTTCAAGAGATTCTATAAGTATTATCCCATTTTTCGTTTGTTAATTAGCAAGAGCATAAACAAAGATAACGAGTATTGCAAAAAAGATTGAAAATCAAAGATGACACTCTTTCAGTATTTTGTCTCGTATTTCAAGAAAAAGAAGCTAAAAATTCATTTTATTATTTATAATTGTTTGTTATGAATACTAGAACAGAAACTATTTTTCATTTTTGCCTTCTGTAAAATTTTATTAATAATATCAGACCGTTCGTATTTACCCCGGAAAATTGGAAAACCGGGGTAAATCCGAACGGTATTTTCAAAAATTGTTTTTATATGATTACACTACTATTTTAACATTATAAAAGTACATAGAAAAAAGTTTTTCTTTCTATATGTATACTCGTTAGTAATTAATAAGCAGAAACTTACTCTCTGTTCTCTCGAAGGAGTGTTCCACTTTTTTTGTTTTTCAGGATCTTAATAAAATTTGGTATTCTAAGGTTTTTGGGGTCGCTGATTACCAATTTCAAGTCAGTTTTTCAAAATTCAAAATGGCCGATCCAATATGGCGGACGAGGATTAAAAAATTCATTGGATTCGCTCGAAAATTGTTACTCGGGGGGTTTCAGGGTCGCTGATTACGAATTTTTGATCATTTTTAAAAATAAGTTTTAGGAAAGTCCGCTATTTTGAATTTAAAAAATTTGACTTTTATTTTTGTATTTGCATTCAATCACTCCAAAATACTTTCTGTAGCAAGTTTTGCAAAAATCCGTTATGATTTGATAAAGTTATTAAAGGTTTTAATTGTGTAATGTATTTTAATTTTTAACCTGTTTGATTTTCGTATTTATATATATGATGCATTATTACATAATAGGTTTATTGTCGTATTTTTTTTGAGTTCTCAGATAGCACAACAATTTGCAGCAATTCTTCAGCAAGTTTACAATGCCAAATTTGTTAGTTTGCAATGTAAATTTGCTGCAAAACTGTGGCAAATAGCTATATGTCCACGCTTTGCGAAGTTTGCATTGTAAGTTTGCAGAAAAATTTTACATACAATTTGCAGAAAATTTTTATGGCAAACTTGAAGAAAATTTGCTGATAATTTTCTCAAATTCATGTCATGCGCAGTAGTTTTCTATGGCACTTAGGGCTGCGCAATAGATTTTAGTCGCCTTTCCTTTAGGAAAGGTTTGCAGTAACAAAATATCATCATATTTACAACAATGACATTTTTTAATTTTTGGCGAAAAATGTCCACAAGTTTTCTTAAAATTTGTCATAAAATTTTCCTGCAATTTTTCTAAGAAATTTTTCTGCAAACTTGTAATGCGAACTTCGCAAAGCGAGGACATATAGCTATTTGCCACAGTTTTGCAGTAAATTTACATTGTAAACTTATAATTTGGCATTGCAAATTTGCTGCAAAATTGCTGCAAAAAGTTGTGCTATCTGGGTTTTTATATAAGTTTAACAATTGCAATACTTTAAATTTATTTTCCCTAAGATTTTTCTAAAATACACTGGCGTTCGTATTTACCCCGGTATTTTAGGAAAGTTGCAAAGTTTCGAGGTAAATACGAACGCTAAGTTTCCTGCGATTGTAATTTATCAGAAATTTTTGCTACCCCATAAAATTGTTCTATGGAAGTAAAGTAACAACTTCATGCACCAGAATACCGGAAGTATTGTCTTTTAAAAGAAAAAACTTATGTCGAGGGGGAATTTACTAGTTAAAAACGTGTACACTTGACTACCGGTATTACACCTCATATTACTCTTATTACTAAGTTATTACACGTTATTACAGAGTATTACACATTATTACAGAGATATTACAGATTTTTTTGCGTTATTACAGCACCGTAATAACGCATTATTACTCGGTATTACACGTTATTACACAAGTATTACAGGAAGAGTGTACACTTGACTACCTGAGTAAATTCCCCCTCGACTTATGTTATTGTTGAAACTTACTAAAAGCGTTCGGATTTACCCCGGCTGACCCCTATTTTAATTATTTAAATGTTAATTAGTAGAAGTTTTTGGAGGTTTTTTGGTTTTTTTAGAGATCTGCATTTCCGTAGATAAACGTCCTTAAACTAAATTGTTCTTATTAAATTATATCACAATTTGCATTAAATAGTTTTAATATAAATCTTCTGAAATTTTTTGTTTCTTAACAATTTTTTAAAAAAAATTTTAACAACTATATATTATATTATAATGTATGTAAAATTTACTAAATATTTAAAGTACCTTGGCAAGTTTAATAAGATAAAAACAGTGCTTATAAGTAGAAGCATTTTTGTAATGCTTTGTTGATTTCTTGTCGATACAGGATTTCGAGATGATGAGTTTCCATCTGAAAAAGTTAAGAATATTAATCTATATTGTAATTGACCCAGTTATTGACACCCTTCTTAGGTTTTTTTTATTAACGTCTACCATTCCTCCTTAATTCTTGAAATCAAAATTTAGCCTTAAGGTGCCAGTGACTGGGTCAATTAATACATATTTCTTTCGGTTCATTTGGTCTTAAATATGTTATATATATTTTAAATATTTTAAAATCTACCAATCAAAAATTATCATATATATTATTAAGAAAATAAATAGTAGAGAGAGAGAATGAAATTAGAAAACCTACTAATACACCTTGCAAGAACTTCAGAAACTTGATATGGACTTCTTGGCGTTGAAGGAATGGCGACAATTGAGGGTTGATGTCGGGAATGTTGTGAATGGCTGCTTTTTGAGGAGTGGAATGATTGTTGAGAGGGTTGTCTTCTTCCACTAATACCTGTATTTAATGGAATACCATTTGCTTCATCGTGACTACTGCTGGCAGTCTGAAACAACAGATTATTATTTTTCATTTTTTATTTAACATACCAAAGTTAATTTTTTCAATGGAAATTCATAATCGATAAAAAAAATCAATAATTCTTTATTATTCATTATCATGTATTATTCTAGCACTACGTTAGTACTGGTGAGCGAGATAAAATCAGTACTGGACAGCGTTACCAGCCAGGGTTGGTCCACTACTGGCCCAGTACGGCAGTCAGTACTGTTATACTGACTGGCAGTGTTGGATCAGTACTATGCCAGTGGCACATTTCTACTTGGGAAATTTAAAAATAAATGGATAGAAAGATATTGAAATTTGAAATAAGGAATTTAATGAGCTATAGAAAGATAGAAAATAGAAAGAGAATAAATAAAAACTTGATTAGAATAAGAATATAAAAATCCGTATCAAAGAAATAGACTTAGAGGTTACAATATACATTAATATTACTGAATACAGCTATATAAATAGATAGAGATTACCGAAAACAAGACAAATATTAAAAAAAAGATAACATTTTTAGTTAAAACAACCTACGTTGAGAATGAAATATTAAAAATTGAATATAAATATAAAGTTTTTAGTGACTGGAAATAAAACTGTACAGAAATTGTCATTATAGATAGAGTCGTTAGGAATGCCACTGTAATTAAATAATAATTTTAATTACAGTGGCATTTGTCGGTGTGGCAGACGTTAATTCATAACTTTGTATATAAGATTATACATCTTTTAACATTTCCTTATAAGATCTTGTCATTTGTAGTTAAAAATTTACTAGTATCTAATTTGGTAAGTACATATTTTACATTTATATGCTTTGTTAAATTTTGTTTAATAGATGGACTATTCCAAAAGGAAAATAATTTAAATATAAATATATTAAATTTTCCATTTTTTTATATTCCTTCTCATTCTATACTTTATCTACTTATTCAGTTTGTGAAATTATTGAAAATGTTTAAAAAAATATCAGTGACCTACAAACTGAGTAGTGAGGCAGATCAGTTCAAGAATAACATTGATTTTTTTTTGGTAATTCACTTACAACTTTCATTAAAGAATTGCGAGACTTAATTTTCAACGACAATAATAACAATGCAGCCATTTAATGTACACAATATTATGTAATGTATACACTACCCAGAGAAATGATTTATTTGAACCAAATAAAATATATTTAAGTTAAATAAACGTATATTTGTCTCAGAGCCTAATATTTATTTGGCGTAAATAAAAATTTTATTTGTTAGAAATAAATTTTTTATTTCAATGAAATAAAATATATGTATTTGCAACAAATAAATGAGTTAGTAGGCTCGGAGACAAATATACCATTTCTCTGAGTGTATTACTGGTACTATATGTACGAATATGGGCTTTGCCCGTATATTTTTCAAATAAATAAATAAATCAATTTGTCACATATGTGATTTAAGCGATATTTCATTATTATTCAAAAAAAAAAGTTAATGGAAATAAATAACTTATTATAAAAAGGAAATATTAAGAGATGTCATGCCTGCTATAGTTTCCAAGAGAATTTTAAGTAAATATTTTTGAATTAAGAAAATTAGTCGATTAAACAAGAACAAAAAAAAAAAAATTCTGTGAATTTCTCGTTTGAATTTTAACAATATTCTGACATTATTTACAGATCAGAAATGGATGCGTGTCAGCGAGGCAATTGCATTATTTGCAATAAATCATTGTCAGAGAATGCACTTACTATTATTGGAGAGCGTACACTTGCATCTGCTGTTGCTGCCAATAATAATAATAATGAGAGTAGGGATAATAAACATTTAAAAAATTATTTTAATTTAATAATTAAATTATTATTATTATTATTATTATTATTATTATTATTATTATTATTATTTAATTATTTTAGATAATAAACAGTACAAATCTAGAAATATCCACAATTGTCACACAGTGAATACAAAATTCAACATCACTAAATCAGCCAAACAAACACGGAAAACCACTCCTACACTGTTAAATTCACAAAATACTAGATTTGATTTATCTTTTTTCTCTGATACAGGAAAAAATAAATGTAAAATTTTGAAAATTGTGCAAAAATATTTTAGCAAGGTAAGGCATTTCGATAAGATTCTAAAGCGAAAAATTGTAGAGAAATGTCAGTTTACTGAATTGGATAGTTATTATCTGATCGCTTTAGAAATTGGAAGCTTTACTTAAGTAAGTAAGTAAGTTATTCGACTAATTTGAAAATACTTTTTCTTCTTCTTCATTAGTGGCCTCTTGCGGAGCAAACAGCCATTACAAATGAAAATAAGTGTAAATAAATGTTTCGGTGTCGGTGTCGCTATATTGGAAATTTGTTAACTTAATATAATATAACCAGACAGCACGTAAGCTTGCATGGTAAGCTTGCCGAAAGATTGCAGTATAAGGTTACTGCAAGATTGCACAGTAAGCTTGCACGGTAAGCTTGTCGCAAAGTTGGTGCAAGGTTGACAAATAACCTTGCCCCATCAGCAGAGAAGTTTGCATTGAAAAGGAGCACTGTGCGCACTTGCAATCATAAGCACTGACGGCTGCGCAGTAAATTACTGTGCAATCTTGCAGTAACCTTACACTGCAATCTTTCGGCAAGCTTACCGTGCAAGTTTGGGTTAGGTGGGACATTTGAAGCTTGCGACAAACTTGCCATGCAAGGTTGGCAATATTGCGCGGCAAGCTTGACGCAAGGTTGCTGCAAGCTTATGTCCTATCTGGGTATAGAAGATGTTTAGGTTTGAAATAATGATAAAATTTTTATGTTAAAAAGAATTCAATTAAATGACATTTAAAATTAGGTACAATAGGTTCCTAACCAAAAATTTGCAAAACAACAATAAATAGCAAAAAAAAAAAAACATTAAAAAATTGGTAAAAAATTGAAAAAAAATTGTTTTTGAGTAACTTTTCAAAAGAAGAGTAATTTTTTTATATCCAAAAAATTTTAAAAAATTGCTTAAAATTGCAAAATAACCCTTTTTTAGGGTTAAAATTCCAAAAAAATGTTAAAACGGTAAAATATGTAAAATTTTCTGAAGGCATATTATACAAATGATTTTGATTTATCTGAAAATAAGTGTAAATAAAATAAATGAATAAAAATTAATTTTAAAATATATATAAAATGTAAAAAAAATATTTCTAATAAATTGAACTAGAAATTAAATTATTCAGAAATAAAGAAAAAACAATTTTGAAAAAAAGTTTGCTTACAATTTTTATATAAACAAGAATATTCTATTTCTTTGAAAAACATATACTATGTATTTTCATTTTTATATTGTATTTTGTTGGTAAATATATATATATAATAATTTAATAAAATTTCTCTACTGTATATACTTTTCAAAAATATTTCAAAATTCTACTTTTATTTTTTGTCTCTTGTAAGGTATTTATTTTACATATATATTTATTATTATTTACTTTTATATTTATATAGGAAAAAAATGTTACTAAAAGTTACAAACATCTAAAAGTATACAATTAACATTTTTTTTATTTTCTAAAATCTTAAATTATATAATATATATATAGATATATATATATATATATGAGAGGTTCTATGCCAAACCAACATTTCATTGACTTTGACACAGAAAGAATAAGTTAATTAAACTTATACTTTAATTTATTCCATCCTTGTACCACTATATTAAATAGACACAAAAAGTTTGAAAATATTTTCCTAAGATTTCTCAAAAAAACTTTTTATTATTCTCCCTATTATATTTATTTTAGTAAATTTGACAGACAAGTAGAATAATATATGAGCAAATCCACGAAACTTTTAACTTTTGTGATTCTCAAATCGAACACTTAAAAATCTGAATTATTTTTAATTAAAACTTTGGGTATCATTTTTTTTTTTTTTTGCTAAATTATATTACAAAGGAACATTTATGTACAGTATTAGAACAAAATATTTATTTGACAATTAGTTTTATAAGTTAAAAAGTGAAAAAATGCTTAAATTTCATTTGAATTTCTTGAAAAAGTTTATATTCTTAACGTTTTTATTGTTACGGCGTGTAAAATATCACTTCAGCTACTATATGGAAATATCTACCAGACATATTTTGTCAAAAAATTTTCACTATCCCATTAGTGTGCCACCACTAAAACTAAAAATACGAAGGTTTGATTGAGTTATAGCACTTTTTAAAAAAATTCAATTGAACGTCTTCTTATGAAAATATATCTATTACGGCGTTAGATAAAAATAAAAGTTCAATGCATTTCTTAAAAGGTGATGAAAATACAAATATTTTAAGATCTTTTTCAATAATGTGCCTCTAATTGTATTCCTGTGGCAACAATATAAAGATGATAATAAAAATCGTGATTTCATTTAAATTTATACATTTTTGAAAGGCACAACTGCATTTTTGCTTTAAACAGGTCAATCTATGGCGTGATCGAAACATTTTCATACATATATTTGAAAACAAAAACGCCGCTTAAGGATTTTGAGTGAAATAAATTTTATTAAGTTAAGAATATGCTGAAAACACATTTTTGGAGTCTTTACCCCCTCTTTTCTCAAAATCCTGATGTGCTAAGCAAATTTGGTTGCCAGAATCGTGTTCAGAGGACGAAAATACTTTGGAAACCACTCCGATATCAATAATAAAAAAAGTTGAATTTTTCAATTTTATATGTAATTTATTAACGTTAAAGAATTTAAAGAGTTAAACATTGACGGCATGAGCTAAAAATGAATCACGCATATGAATTTGTAATGCTAAAATGTACTTAAACGTGTATACAAAGTGACATCAATGTGCCTGCAAATTAAAAGAAGAAATTTTTTTTTCTTGAAAGTTAAAAGTTTCGTGGATTTATACCCATATAGAAAAAATTTTATTTACTAATAATTCACCAACAAAACACAGTAACGATACCAAATATCCAAGAAATAATACAAAGAAAAAGATTGTCTTTAATTTTGCCACAGCACCAAAATCTTCAACTTGTATCATTTGTTTTTTATCATATTTAATAAAATTAATAATCGATTCATGATTTGAAATATTCAATTCCCATTTAATTCTAATACCAGATTCAATGAAACGATAAATAAATTCATCAATTCTTGGCTTATATGGTGTACTTCTTTCCAAAACAATTATTCTTCTTGCATTAAATAAATTTTGCTTAAGAATTTTACTAATTGGCTGTCCATCAGAATTTCTCAATAATTTCACCAATTGTCTTGCGTATGCATTTAGTATTACACAAGAAACATTTTTATATTTAACAAGCATAATAATACAATTTGTATCGGCAAATTCCGATGGAATCATTTTCTTTTTTAACAATTGTACATCATTTGAATCATCATTAAGTAATCTGTAATAATTAGGACTAAGTATCGTTGATAAATTAGATTGCGCTAAATCCATTAGTGTAGTGATATTCTTCTCATGTGATTTTTCAACTTTATTTGCCGTTAAACCAGCTAAAAATCTACTGGAGAAAAAGAAACCAATTGCAATTAGATAGAGAAAAAATAATCGATGTCCCATTTTAATGGGTTGTTGACTAATTGTCACTCCCAATAGAAGTGCTGCAAGGTATTCTTGTTTCCAAAATTGATTATTTTTACTGTCAATCAACATCCACATTGTAATAACAAAAATGGTGAATAAAAATATATAGTACAATGCTTCCAGGTTTAGAAATTCATTTTCAATATCTTCTTGTATAATTGGTAATAGGGCAACAATTGATTCCATTTCAATGGCACGTGAATATTCATACAATGTACCATCAGCAGCGGGTCGAAAATTAATATTTGTTGTTATAAGAATATTAATATTGTTATTTATCAATTTTTTTAACATTCCAGTTGAATTGTTTCCCACAAATATTCCAATTACAGAATTTACGTTAGAATCAATATTTATGGTAAAATTCATAGCCTTCGATAATGTATAAAACATTTCCACATCTGCACCACTACAACTGAGTAAGTGACCATCAATTTTATCATATTTCGCTAAACTAAATGGTGGTTTTAAATGTAAACCACTTTTTATTAAATAACCATGAAGATTCAATAGTTTATTTGGAAACCAATTTGTCGTCAATGAACATTTCTTTCGATAATAGCTGCTTGTAAAAGGATTGTAGTAATGAATTTTTTGAAAATTTTTTTCCATTTTTAGAATATCTTTTTTTATTATTATTTCTAAAATTGTAAAATCGAGAAATTTATTTAACCACATTTTACGAAGAAATTCATCAAATGATGATTTATGATTAGTGAGGGAAATTAGTAATGTTTTTGGACGAACTTTTGAGGGTGAAAGTTGGATTAAATATTTGAGAGTTGAATTCAAGGATGTTGTAATATTATCAACATTGTTGAAAGATTTAATAATTAGGAACAATGATGTTTCCCTTGGATTACCAAATGTTGGTGATTTCATTGATTTTATAAGATCTTGCGATGATAATTTTTCAATATCGATTTGAATATAGGGTAAATTTCGTAATACTGTGACAATTAGATGTTTTTCAAATGAATCAAAATTGGAATTTGTTAACAATACCACTTGATACGGTTTTAAATTTTTTTCTATGTGACGATTTAAATTATATGAACATTTGTCGCTGCTTATTATTTTTGTCAAGAAAATGATGAAAAATATGACAAAAATACTTGTGCTTTGAATAGACATTTTTTTTGTGTTTTAGTAAATTTTTTATAATCGAGAAATTTAATATATTTTTTGGAAAATATATTTTAATACTATTGTAATCTTTTTCTTGTACATAGACAAGAGTTGAATATAAAACTGTAAAGGAATTCCCTTTGTTTTTGAATTATATAACGTCGAACATTGGAAAATAATAAAGTATTTATTTAAATGTAAATAATAAATAAATAATAATAAAAAAGAATAAACAATTTTATATACTATAAAAATTGTAGCTTATGATATATTTATTATCAGTGAATTGAGCAGTTAATAGATGTTACGTAGTATTTGCGACTTAATAGAGTAAATATATATTATAGTAAAAGATGTAATATATGTATAGCACCATTTTATCAATATTTTTTATGTTTTAGTTAAAAATATTGTTGATACAATTACTTATTTCTTTTCATTCTATTGTAGTTCTGAATTAATATTATCTTTATTAAATTTTTAAGGTGGACCCTAATTTTTATATTGTACGGTGTATGTCAAATAAAATAAGTGATACAAAAAGGAGCAATTTTCTTGAATTTTACAAAATTGTTCCTTTTTGTATCACTTATTTTATTTGACATACAACACATATTTTTTAAACATTTGTTTTTATACCAAATAAGTTCGCTTCGAGTACGGAAGCCTCAATTTCAGTGCAAGTGTAAATCGCACTTGTCCGATTTTTTCCCACTTGGAAAAATTCCCCGGAAAGTGCCCCCTGGAGGTTCTATCAGAATTCCGCCGGAACTTCCAACGTAATTCCGTCGGAATTCTGACGGAATTCCAACGGAATTAGAACTCTAAAAATTTTGAAAAAATTAATCGGAATTCCGTCGGAATCCCATCGGAAATTCATTGGAACTTCGATGAAATTCCGAAGGAATTACGTTGGAAGTTCCGGCGGAATTCTGATAGAACCTCCAGGGGGCACTTTCCGGGGAATCTTTCCAAGTGGGTTTATTTTAGAGTTGTAACGACTGAAGAAATAAACTCAAGAAAAAAGTCCCCTTTTTCCACTTCGTATCATGTTTATTAAATTATTCCTATAATCTACACATAAAAATATACGTGAAAATAATAAATTTGAAGACCTTTAGATAAAATTTTTTTCGTTATTGGGAGAAAATTCATGATTTTTTCTAAAATTATAAGTTTTTTCTTGACAGCATCTGAAAATTCAACTCCAATCATCCTCACTATATTTTTTTTTTTTTGTAATCTATACGTAAAAATATATAAGTTTGAATTCCTTTATATATAAAATTTTCTTCGTTTTTGGTGAAAAAATACATTTTTTCCCTAAAATTGTCATTTTTTCTTGAAAAAATTTGAAAAAAAGTTAATCATTAACTCCAATCGTGACCGGTTTTTTTCCCTATATTTTTCACGTAAAAATTCTTTTATACACCAAATATGAACTGTCTGCGGGTTGAATATTGTGTGCGCTAGAGGTATAAAACCGTTTTTTTTCGACATTTTTTATTTTTCCACAGAAAATTAAAAGGCATTAAAATAAGCTGCAACGCTTATTATTTTAATTCAATTTTGCTTATTTTAATTTATTTTGGTATTAAAATAAGCAAAATTGGATTAAAATAATAAGCGTTGCAGCTTATTTTAATGCCTTTTCATTTTCTGTGTATATAAGTGTACCAAATTTGAGCTCTCTATGTCAAAAGATGTGGCTGCTAGGGGAGGGGGAGTACATAGTCATTTTTAGGCATTTATCTTAAAAATTCATGGTTTTTCCTTGACAACGCTATGTTAATCAATTCCAATCAAGTTCGCTATATTTTTCCTGTAATCTACACGCAAAAATACACATGTGTACTAAATTTCAGCCCTCCAGATAAATTTGTGTGGCCGCTAGGAAAGATTCAAAAAGGGTTAGAAAGGAATAAAAAGAATAACATAGGGATAAAAAGGAAAGAAAAGAGTTAAAAAAAAAACTTTTTAAAAATGATACAAGAAGATATAAATAGATATGTAAAAACAAAGAAAAACTTATAAAACTAGAAATAGAGATATATAAAGAAATAAAAAGTGTTAAATGAAAATGAAAGTAGAATATTTAAGTGGAATATAGTAAATAAGTAAATAGAAAGAAGTACAAGAAAAAGTACAAAAGATAAATATTTTTATATAATTAGAAGGGAGATAGATTTTGGAATGAGAAATAATAGATAGAAATAAGTTATATATATATACTTCGCAACAATGAGGAAATAAAAAGAGAATAAAATCTATTATAGCAGGAGGGATGAAGGAAAAAGTAATCTATAAATCCTATATATATATTAAAAACGATAAAGATAAAAGAAGAAATAGTTATAGCACATGAAGTGAATAGAAAGTATACGTATATTTTAGAATAAAATACCTATTATCTCTTTTTATAATAGAGGATACAAAAATAAATTTCAAAAGAAATATTTTTCACTTCACTTTTTAGGAGGTAGTACTTGATACCCTTATTTCAGACTTATTTTTTTAAAAATAAATAAATAAAAATAAATGAGAATATGATAAAAAAAAAAATAAGAAAATTTTCGTTCTAAATTCAACTTACCTGAATATTATTTAAATTTATCTCCGATGTTGGATATTTATTGCAACTCGCTGCAGGATCACGTTTAAATTTTCTACTAAATCTCAATAAATTCCTTGTTATCATTGTATTCATAATAATAATCATCACCAATGGTACAATTAAACTTGCAATACTATCAATAATACTAACAATTCTCATTGTTTTTAAATATTCAATTTTCATTTCACAAACTTCAGTTCCATCTTGTTCTTTAACAACACCGGCCGTTATTAATGTATATGAATGACTTGCCAATGCCAATACAACTAAAATAAATACAATTGCCTTTGCCCTTGCAATTGTACACATATGTGGTCTATGCAATGGATATTGTACGGCAATAAATCTTTCAACTGTAAATGCAACTATTAACCAAACACTTAATGAACTACAAACTGAACTAATATAAACAGCACTTTCGCACCATCCCTCTTTATTAAACACTCGCCATCCAACAGTACTATTTAACCACACCAATAATAATGTTACTAAATACATAAAATCAGTTGTTGCCAATGCTGCTAAATAATAACTTGAACTTCGCATTTTTAAATGTGTATTTAAAAATACAGCACACGATAATAAATTACCAATAAGACCCAATAAAATAATAAATGGTATATAATAAAGATGTGCAAAATCTAAAATAAAATAAAGAAAATTACAAATTTCCGCTGGTTCCTCATCATAATCAAATGCATCATAAGTTTCATTCCACGGTATATAACTTGCATTTGTCCATGTTGCTGATCTTCGTTGTCGTTCAAAATTTATTGATTCTTTACATTTTTCATATTTTAATGATATGTTAAATAAATAATCCATTTTTGGAGATTCTTTTTTTCTCGTAAATTGTATACATATAAAAATTTTATTATGTCAATTTTTTTTCTAGATATTTTTTACAGAGATTTGATAAAATATTTTCCCTCCAAAAAAGCATGATTTTTCTTTTTCTTTTATAAAATGTAGAAAAAAAGTGTTAAAAAGCTTTTTAGCTTTGGCAATAAATCTTCATAATTGATTCCTTATAATTTTGAAAAATTTTGAAATATACAAAAATTTTTCAATAGTAGTGACAATGTTTTTCTTTTTCAAGAAAAATAGAGAGAATTTAAAAATTCTTGATACAAATTAAATTTTTAATTTGTATATATTAATTTTTGTTGTTGTCAACATTTGTTTTTGTTTTTTATTTTTTTAAAGTTGACTATAGTTGTTTAAAGTGAACCGGCACAAAATAAACTGAACAAGAGGAGTTAGATCTTTGCAGGTCTGATTGCCGGAAAATATTTCCGCATGCGCCCTGAATATAGTGTCCTCCTCTATTTAATAATCAGCCCTCTATTTCTACTTAAATGATAACATATAGGTCTGGATGCTTTTAAATCTCAATTATCTCTAATAATATTATGTTACTAAAATAAATATATAGATATATGTGTATGTATATATATATACCCATGTAGGACGTAATATTATATGTAAGATTCGTAGTTTAATATAATAATATATATTAAAGTATAATATTACTTTAATATATTAAAGGTAATATTTCGTGCTACAATAATTACTATAATTTAACATAACCTCAAAATTGGGTTAAAACTTAGAGCAGAAATCTTAAATTTTTGAGGTTATGTTTACTGATTTTAACCTAAAACTCAGCGTCCTCTTGATTTAAGACATGAAGTAGGATAAGGAGAGGTAACGGCGTATATTCATTGGCCCTCAGATAGACGGACCACAGTAGTAGGCTTTCTTTTTTCCTAATGTCGCGAGCGCTCCTTTGGGGAAAGCGAAGAATTAAAATTTATCGTCTGCAACATGGCTGCAAGTCAGCTGTTTACAACGTTAGGTTAAGTTAATAAATATGAAGGTATTATGCAAATACATTAACTGTAAAATGTCAGAAATATTTTAAAAATCAAATAATAGTTTAATATTGACACTGGAATTTATTATTCAGCTTATGAGTTACATTCATAGTTTTGTCAAATCTTCGAATAGCCTCTGACCATGTTGCTAACATTTTCTATCGAAATAAGAAATATAATTAACATTATTTATTATTTACATAATAATATCATGAGTAATAAAAAAATAATAAACAATGTCATTCTACTTACCATGGAAGGTTTAAAAAAACTTCGAACACAACCATCTCTTTTTATTTGGGTTTTCGAACCCGAATCGCAATGCTTTATAAAACAACTCTTCATTTTTCAAAACACTAACACATTACTGAAATACTTCATGTGTAAAACAAACGACTGAATTTTAACAACAAAAACACCATGTGAAACATTCAGGTTATGTTTCTCTTTTCGCGGTAGGTCACGTGATAAAATATAATTCAAATATTTCCCACCGCAAGCGCTGTCAACAGTAGGAAAATAGAAAGTCGTACTACTGTGGTCCCCCCTATATGGTGTCAAGTTTTCTAGCGATTGGCTACAGGCGTTACCTCTCCTTATCCTACTTCATGATTTAAGAACTTATAAAATGTTAATTTTCTTTTATTATCGCTTTCTTAAACCCAAAATTGGCCTAATTTTGAGGTTATGTTTTAACCTCTTACTTATAGTGGTCTCTTGACCTACTGTCAATTTTTCAGAACCAAAATATATATAAACAAACCTGAAATAACATAATATCAAATTGACAACTAGACGATAAGTATAAAATGGTAACATAACCTCAAAATTCAATGTCAAATGTTAAGGATATATAGGTCAAGAGGACACGCTGGGTTTTAAAATTAGATAACAAAACCTCAAAATTAGATTAAAACTCAGAGTAGAAGTCTTGAATTTTAACCTAATTTTGAGATTATGTTTACGCAGCGTCCTCTTGATTTAAGAACTTATAATATTCTACCTTAAATTTTTGATTAAGTTTTGTTATTATCGCCCTTTTAAACCAAAAATTGACCTAATATTAAGGTTATGTTTTAACTTCAAACCTATAGTGGTCTCTTGACTTATGAGCTCCGTCAATTTTTCAGGGCCAAAATACGAACAAACCTGAAAACATAACCTCAAATTGATATAACTAGGCGATAAGTATAATAGGGTAACATAACCTCAAAATTAGATCCATTTCTAAGTCAAGAGGCCACTAGGTTTGAGGTTAAAATACCAACAAACCTAAAAAAAATATACCTAACCTACACTGTAAAAAAAATTTTGTGTCGATTTACACGCCGAATGTAAAATAACTTATTCAACAATGTTAATTTATTATGCTTTGTAAATTTATAACCTTAAACATTTTAATTTTACACTGCTGAACGTTGTGAATTCACACGGTTGTGTAATTTTACAATGTTGGACATTGGAAAGTATGGCCACATATGTATGGCCATACTTTCCAATGTCCAACATTGTAAAATTACACAACCGTGTGAATTCACAACGTTCAGCAGTGTAAAATTAAAATGTTTAAGGTTATAAATTTACAAAGCATAATAAATTAACATTGTTGAATAAATTATTTTACATTCGGCGTGTAAATCGACACAAAATTTTTTTTACAGTGTAACTTATTTAAATTCTTTTTTATTATTTAAATTTCTAATTTTTTAATTTAATAAATTTAAATACAGCAGAAACAAGAAAGTTATTTAATTAGTTTTCAAAATAAAAGTTTTATATCATCAACCAAAGATAATTAATTTGGTTTGTTATAGAAACTTTTGCGAAAGCGATGAGAAATGATTATATTATACAAAAGTTAGACTAAACTAAAACAAATGGTAATTAGAGTTTAATTTCAGAGAAAAGTTATATATATTTCTTCCTATATTTATTAGAAAGCATAGTTGTATATTTAAACTATTTTAAACTTAGTCAATCACAATTTTTCTGTAATTTTTTTTCTAATAATAATTTTATGTTTACCGGAATTTTAAATTTAATCAATGAAAAATTATTTTTAAAAAATTGCGATTGGCTTAATTTGAAATTTGCGCTTAAATGCTAATAGCGAGTATTTATTCGGACATTTACAATTTCGGACAAAAAAAAAGGTTCGATAATTTAATTATTCGTGTCAACTTACAAAGTTTAAGTAAATAAAAATTCGGTCAATGCGCACAATTTCGATGAATTGGTAATTTTTTCCATTTAGAAATTCCAATAATTAGAAATTTCGTTAAATAAAAAATTTGTTCGAACAAAAATTGTTTTTAATGAAAGAGTTTTTTTTATATCTATAATTTTTTTGTAATATAACAAATTTTATTAAACTAAAATCGTTTTTAATGATAATTTTTTTACTAATTATAGTAATTATAGCTAATTATATTATACATATGGGATAATAAATATAATAAAATTTTTGTCAAATAGAAATTGTATTAATTATGAAAATTTGGATCAAAAATTCAATAGTTACGTGTGGGTAATAATGACTCATCCTAAATATGAATATTCATTTTATTTCTTGTATAAAAGTAACATTAAAACTAATTAGAGAAGGAAAATTGTCCTCAAAGATTATTATATATATGTTATCAAATTTAATTATCTAATAATAAAGAATATGATAATTACATTCATTTATAGACTTTTTATAGGTTAATCGATTTCTTTTCATGAGAAATAATAATTTTCCATCATATTAAATTTATACATTACAATAATGTATATATGTAAAAATATTTTTAAATTTAACATAATTATTTAAATTTTTCTTTTTTCTTTTATAAAATAATATGATTAAGAAAATTTTAAAAATGTTATAATATTTTTTAGATGCCAATCCTTTTATATCTATTTTAAGAAAATAATTGGTCATTAACTTCAAAATAAAATTGATTAATATTTATTTTCAGTCATTTTTGTTATATACGTACAATACAAAAAAGAATATGAAAAAGCGTGAAATATCATATTGACATGAAGACTCATATAATTGAAGAATTTATTTTTAGAAATTGGAAATACGATTAAAGCTTTCTTTTTTATATAAGAAAATGAAATAAAAAAAAAAAAAAAATGCAAGATAAAATAATCTGAATATGAAATAGGTAACAAATATTTTATCTTGTCTGTGCGACGCCCCTTATTTTTTTGGACGTCAAAAAAAAGGGTTTAGTAAAATAATTTGGTAATATTAATATTTTAATACTTAATTAAATATTTTTAAATATTTTTAAATATTTTTAAGTATTTTTAAATATTTTTAGATTCGATATTTAAAATGCTTTTATAAATTAAATAGAATAAACATAATAATAAACATAAAAAGTAATTAGTGCGATATAATAAAAAAATGATAAATTTAAATGGTTAGATAATTTTTTTTTGAAATTTTTTTAAAAATTCTATATATGGTGGAGAAATATATAAAGAATTTAAGTACCCTCTATATTATATATAATCTAACCGTAAACGCACTTAAATTTAATTTAAATGAGATGATATTTTAACTGTTGAAAAAAATAGTTAAATAATTGTCATTTGTTTTATCATTATTTTTTAAACACGTGAAATTCGACACTCTTATGAGATCTATATTTGAAATTGTTAATTTATCTTTAACGCCCCTTTTATTGCGCAGGAGTATATAGAAAAGTTTGCTTCTTTATCGTAACTCCACAAAAAAAAAATTTAACGTACAAAAAAAAATTCTATATTATTTATAATGAAATTTGAAATATAATCGTTTAAATATATTTAAACAATTATTATTTTCTTATACGGAAGTGAAAATTATTAAAATTCATTGCATTAAAAATTTATAAAAAAACAAAAAATCTACGAATTTTAGTTAAAAATTGTTTTCTTTTTTTGATAGTAAGAAATAATTTCTAAATTTACCCAAAAACCACTAGTAACGAGTTTTAATTAAATTTAACCAATTTTTTAAATTTTGAGCGCCATGTTGGATCCGCCATTTTGAATTTTGAAAAACTAACATTAAATTCGTGATCAGAGACCCCAAAAACCCATGAGTAACAAGTTTCAAGTGAAATCGATGAGATTTTTTTTTAATTTTTCGTCCGCCATATTGGATCCGACATTTTGAATTTTGAATTGCAGTTTCTTAGCACAAGTTAAGGTTGGTACCACAATAGGCAAAATTGTATCGTCTTGAAGACGATTTTCATATGCCAAAACGATGTATGTTTTTTCTATTGACACCAATCTTTTTGTTTTGAAAATCGTCTTCAGGACGGTACGATTTTGCCTATTGTGGAATCAACCTAAAGAAATCTTCTGATTGGTCAAGTTTATTATTTTATGT